CTATAGCAATGGTTGTCTTTAGTCTGTTGTCCGTCCTCGCACCGCCGATGAGCACGGTTTGGCCACGCACGGTGCCAAGAAAGTTCGTCACACGTACAGCGAGGGGGAAAACAAGTGTTTGATCGCCTGCTGATTTTTTTAACTTTTGCCCACTGACAAAGAAATGATCAGTCTATAATTTTAATGGGAGGTTTGTTTGAACAGTGAGAGACAGAATAACAACAGGAAAATCCAGAAAAAAACGCATGTCAAAAATATTGTAAATTGATTTGCATTTTTATGAGGGAAATAAGTATTTGACCCTCTCTCAATCAGAAAGATTTCTGGCTCCCAGGTGTCTTTTATACAGGTAACGAGCTGAGATTAGGAGCACTCCCTTTAAGAGTGTGCTCCTAATCTCAGCTCGTTACCTGTATAAAAGACACCTGGGAGCCAGAAATCTTTCTGCTTGAGAGGGGGTCAAATACTTATTTCCCTCATTAAAATGCAAATCAATTTATAACATTTTTGACATGCGTTTTTTCTGGATTTTCATCCCCACCGTCAAACATGGAGGTGGAAACATTATGCTTCGGGGGTGTTTTTCTGCTAAGGGGCCAGGACAACTTCGCCACATCAAAGGGACGATGGACGGGGCCATGTACCGTCAAATCTTGGGTGAGAACCTCCTTCCCTCAGCCAGGGCATTGAAAATGGGTCGTGGATGGGTATTCCAGCATGACAATGACCCAAAACACACGGCCAAGGCAACAAAGGAGTGGCTCAAGAAGAAGCACATTAAGGTGCTGGAGTGGCCTAGCCAGTCTCCAGACCTTAATCCCATGGAAAATCTGTGGAGGGAGCTGAAGGTTCGAGTTGCCAAACGTCAGCCTCGAAACCTTAATGACTTGGAGAAGATCTGCAAAGAGGAGTGGGACAAAATCCCTCCCTGAGATGTGTGCAAACCTGGTGGCCAACTACAAGAAACGTCTGACCTCTGTGATTGCCAACAAGGGTTTTGCCACCAAGTACTAAGTCATGTTTTGCAGAGGGGTCAAATACTTATTTCCCTCATTAAAATGCAAATCAATTCAGAACATTTTTGACTTGCGTTTTTCTGGATTTTGTTGTTGTTATTCCGTCTCTCACTGTTCAAATAAACCTACCATTAAAATTATAGACTGATCATTTATTTGTCAGTGGGCAAACGTCCAAAATCAGCAGGGGATCAAATACTTTTTTTCCCTCACTGTACGTGCATTACGTTCATCTGAGTAGATGCGATACACGTTTCCGGTTGGGTTAGTCACAGTTAATCAACATACGATAACCTAAATAGGCGTGGAATTAATCATCACCGGGTACTCAAACTGTAGGTGTACCAGTGGGCTTACTCTCCAACACACAACCGGTTAGTGCTGTACTAGTATACTACACTATACACTACACTACTACACTACACTACTAAACACTAATATACACTACGCTGCTAAACACTAATATACTACACTGTACACGACTATACATCACTATACGCTACACTATACACTACATTTTGATTTAAAGCTTTCGTCACTGCAGGGATTCATAATCTTGGTTCTTTCGGTAAAGTCACGTAGAAGGGAAACATTAAAATAATAAAAAATAATCAATTATTTTATTGTTTCCCTTCTACGTGACTTTACCGAAAGCACCAGGAATATACGCTACGTTGTAATGTAGTAGTGGCTTTACTCTCCAACACAGGTGTACACGTTGTGTTTACGTGACACAAACCCCTTAACTACTCGGCAGTGTCGGGTGGTGGCGGGTTTAACGACGCGGCGTTTATTTTCAGGCCATCTAACCGACAAAAAAAACTTTATTTTGGACACTCGTGGTCGCAGAAGCATGTTAAACTGATACACATCGTGTAGTAAATACGACGTTCAATAAAGCAACGTGACCAGAACAAACGAAATCAGTTTTATTTCAACTAAACTCGGGATCCTGCCACCGGCTAAGCTAGCCGGAATTGGGAATTATGATGCTCGGGTGCGATGACAGAGACTCATCACACCGTACAGGGGATCACTCGGCATAGCAAAAACAGTTCCACGTGTTCGCTTTGTAAGTTAGGAGCCCCAACGTTCGGAAGTCGGATGGTTAAAGCAACGTGATCCGTTCGTAGGTGTGAATGTTTGTAAGTCAGACGGCCAAGAATGCTCACATCTCACAGCGGTTCATTCATAAGTGTAGTTCGTTCGTACGGCGGATTGGCTAATAAAACACGAATGGCTTATGGACGTTCGTCAGTTACGACGCCAACATTCGTGCATACTCTTGGCTCTTTCGGTGAAATTCACGTTGTTAGAAATAAAGCAAATCACGATCGAAACGTCGTGATTTAAAAAAAAATGTTATTTCCACCAACGTGACTTTACCGAAAGAACCACAGAGTGAGTATTCCTGCAGTCACGAAAGGTTCAAATAAACATTTGTACTTGGGGTGGTTGGAAATATTCGTCTCACGACAGTGTTGGAGGCTAAACGGGGGAGCTTTGCTTCCGTCTAAATAGGCGTGACCTTTGAAGGTGAGGTTGGGTGTTCCACAACGTGTACAGAGACACAGGTAAAGCTCCCCCAGGTAGCCACAGACTCACCACGCAGAGACCCACTGACTGACCACACAGAGACCCACTGACTGACCACACAGAGACCCACAAACTCATCACACACAGACCCATAGATTCACCACACAGAGACCCACAGACTCACCACGCAGAGACCCACAGACTCACCACACAGAGACCCACAGACTCACCACACAGAGACCCATAGACTCACCACACAGAGACCCATAGACTCACCACACAGAGATCCATAGACTCACCACACAGAGACCCACAGACTCACCACACAGAGACCCACAGACTCACCACACAGAGACCCACAAACTCATCACACACAGACCCACAGACTCACCACACAGAGACCCACAAACTCATCACACACAGAGACCCACAGACTCACCACACAGAGACCCACAGACTCACCACACAGAGACCCACAGACTCACCACAAAGAGACCCACAGACTCACCACACAGAGACCCACAGACTCACCAGACAGAGACCCACAGACTCACCACACAGAGACCCACAAACTCAACACACACAGACCCATAGACTCACCGCACAGAGACCCACAGACTCACCACGCAGAGACCTACAGACTCACCACACAGAGACCCATAGACTCACCACACAGAGACCCACAGACTCACCACACAGAGACCCACAGACTCACCACACAGAGACCCACAGACTCACCACACAGAGACCCACAAACTCATCACACACAGACCCACAGACTCACCACACAGAGACCCACAGACTCACCACACAGAGACCCACAGACTCACCACACAGAGACCAACAGACTCACCACAGAGACCCACAGACTCACCACAGAGACCCACAGACTCACCACACAGAGACCTACAGACTCACCACACAGAGACCCACAAACTCATCACACACAGACCCACAGACTCACCACACAGAGACCCACAGACTCACCACACAGAGACCCACAAACTCATCACACACAGACCCATAGACTCACCACACAGAGACCCACAGACTCACCACACAGAGACCCACAGTCTCACCACACAGAGACCCATAGACTCACCACACAGACCCACAGACTCACCACAGAGACCCATAGACTCACCACACAGAGACCCATAGACTCACCACACAGACCCATAGACTCACCACACAGAGACCCACAGTCTCACCACACAGAGACCCATAGACTCACCACACAGACCCATAGACTCACCACACAGAGACCCACAGACTCACCACACAGAGACCCACAAACTCATCACACACAGACCCATAGACTCATCACACACAGACCCATAGACTCACCACACATAGACCCACAGACTCATCACACACAGACCCACAGACTCACCACACAGAGACCCACAGACTGACCACACAGAGACCCACAAACTCATCACACACAGACCCATAGACTCACCACACAGAGACCCACAGACTCACCACACAGAGACCCACAGACTCACCACAGAGACCCACAGACTCACCACACAGAGACCCACAAACTCATCACACACAGACCCATAGACTCACCACACAGAGACCCACAGACTCACCACACAGAGACCCACAGACTCACCACAGAGACCTACAGACTCACCACACAGAGACCCACAAACTCATCACACACAGACCCATAGACTCACCACACAGAGACCCACAGACTCACCACACAGAGACCCACAGACTCACCACACAGAGACCCACAGACTGACCACACAGAGACCCACAAACTCATCACACACAGACCCACAGACTCACCACACAGAGACCCACAGACTCACCACACAGAGACCCACAGACTCACCACACAGAGACCCACAGACTCACCACACAGAGACCCACAGACTCACCACACAGAGACCCACAGACTCACCACACAGAGACCCACAGACTCACCACACAGAGACCCACAGACTCACCACACAGAGACCCATAGACTCACCACACAGAGATCCACAGACTCACCACACAGAGACCCACAGACTCACCACACAGAGACCCACAAACTCATCACACACAGACCCATAGACTCACCACACAGAGACCCACAGACTCAGCACACAGAGACCCACAGACTCACCACAGAGACCCACAGACTCACCACACAGAGACCCACAAACTCATCACACACAGACCCATAGAGTCACCACACAGAGACCCACAAACTCACCACACAGAGACCCACAGACTCGCCACACAGAGACCCATAGACTCACCACACAGAGACCCACAAATTAGCTGCGTCTCTGTGTGGTGAGCCTATGGGTCTCTCCGAGACTAATGGAGATGCAGAGAGATGCGTGGGGAACTCGGGGAGACGCGGGGAGACGCGGGGAGACGCGGGGAGACGTGCGGAGACTCTGGGAGACCCAGGCAAATGCGAGGAGACTCGGGGAGACTCACCCGTTCACATCCTTCTCAGCCATCGTCTCTCCCCAGACTGGACTCCTGTGTGAGACACACACACAGAGATACAAAAAAACAAAGATCCCTCAGTATATACTTTACTGACTATTGAGGCAAGCGCTATTAGCGAGCACCTACGAAGGACGGCACGGCACATCAAAGGGTGCGTGGCCAGCACCACGCCCAGCCACCTTCGTCTCCCCAGTGGTGACATTTACTACATGCCACACCAGGTACTCATCTGAGGGTAGATCTAACCATAGTCGATCAAGCGTAGGCCCAAGACCAGTTCAGATATTCTCTCTCACTGGTTTTAGCTGTGACACTACCGCTCCCCTAACAACAACCGCCATTCGCCACTAAGTGGTGGCGATGTTATGAGAGCGCTTGTGCCAGGTTAGGTGCACGAGGTCACGGGACAGACCCAGTAGGTGCCATGGGTTGGCCGATGCACCACCTGTGCCCCCCTACTCTGCCAGCTTGCTGTATTTTAGCCGCCCGGCGCTCCGCTCGTTGTTGTGAGCGTCGCTCCTCCGCCCTCCGTTGTTGCTGGAGGGCGACTGCCTCCAACTGCCCAGTAGCATCCTTCACGAGCCTCCTCCACAGAGGCCGATCTTGACACCGCTGGTACCAGTCATCGGCAAGTCCATTGAGCTCCACGTCCTCCTGTACCGCATCAATCCATCTCTTCTCTAGCCCCCTCTATCCAGCCAAACAGAAGCTGCTTGGGTATCTGGTGGGCAGGGACGTGTGGCCAGGGGAGGTAGGGGATGCAGAGCCTCGCCTGTCATACTCCAATGAAAATATCCGTTGCGAAAAGTAAAAAAAAAAAGAATAATCAAATGAAATAAATATTAAGATTTTTTTTCCACTGATCTGTGTTACGTCATTTCTGTACGAGTCCAATCATTTTTATCGTCAAAATCGCCAAATTTGCGGAGCTCCGCTGCAAATACAGGGAGAGACGAGAGGTGAGGCAGTGACAAGCTCAGCCTCCCCTCTGATTGCGCAACCCCTGAGTAACTGGATGGAGCGAAGGCAATAATCGCGTGCCTGTTACTATCTCTCTGTGTGTCACCAATGTAATGTTTGTAGACCCCTTCATTTCATGTCCTCGCCTTCCATACTCCAGGTAACTTATTTCACATATTGTGTATAAAGATATTTAGGCTCGCTGGTCTCGTCATGAAACTGCAATGAAAGAGCACCAGGGGAGGCAGCTATCACGTCTGCCTCACCTGAGGGAGACGTGTCTAACACGCCCCCCTCAAAGAGGACACGCCCTCTCAGTGAGACCACGCCCTCTCCGTGAGGCCACGCCCCCCCTCCCCCTCAGCGTGTGAATCTGGCTCTGACACTTGCCAGTGCCTCCCCAGCCACTGAGCTCACCGCACGTCACTGGTGGTGGGTGGGAATTCCGGCTACATGACCCAGCCAACGCAATCTCGCCTGCCGGAGGGGCTCACCGATGGGACTTTGTCCAGATCTGTCAAGGATTTGCGAAAGCTCTTCACACAATCCAGCCTGGTTAAACCCAGGATGGATCATAGGCAGGCCAGCCTGAATGTTTCTAACCAAGCGAAGATGTTCCTTTAGAACCACACACACACACACTGTATAAATTTGAAAACAAATTTCCTGCCTAAAAATATTAAAACATTCACTCACACATGGCATGGACTTATATATTTTTTTACAATAATGTCTAAGAGTGATTTGTATTACATTGCTGTTTTTACTTTGTTTTTGCGTTTTCTTGTTTCATTGTATGTAATGGCAGAGATATAACAGAGCAACCATAACCACAATCATATAAACAGAAATCTACGCATTGTTTATAATGTCGACAAGTCCAGATATTGTGCCCAAGGTTTATCAAATTGTTGTTTTTATTTACATAGCATAGCAATTATTATTTTGAAAAATATTTTTTTATAGCAATATATTGGGCGGGACATTTTGAGCAGATTTGATAATTGGGGGGGATTGCCCCCCCCCCCAAAATATTATAATTACGGCCTTGACACACACACACACACACCTGTGCATACACACACTCTGCACAGACACACCTGTACAGACACACACAAACTCTCTGCACACACACCTGTACACACAACAACAGTACACGCACACACACACACAACAGCACACACCTATACGCACAAACACACTCTACACAGACACACCTGTACGCACAAATACAGTCTGCACATATAACCCTGTACATACACACAAACCATGTACAGAGATACCTGTAAAAACACCAAACTCTATACAGATACACCTGTACACACAAACAAGCTATGTACACACAACAGCACACACACACACACCTGTATAAACACACCTGTACAACACACCTGTACAACACACCTGTATAAACACACACCTGTACAACACACCTGAATAAACACACACCTGTACAACACACCTGTATAAACACACACCTGTACAACACACCTGTATAAACACACCTGTACAACACACCTGTACAACACACCTGTATAAACACACACCTGTACAACACACCTGAATAAACACACACCTGTACAACACACCTGTATAAACACACACCTGTACAACACACCTGTATAAACACACCTGTACAACACACCTGTACAACACACCTGTATAAACACACACCTGTACACACACATCACCTGTACACACACCTGTACAACACACCTGTATAAACACACACCTGTACACACACCTGTACACACACCTGTATAAACACACACCTGTACAACACACCTGTATAAACACACACGCACCTGTATAAACACACACACACACCTGTATAAACACACACCTGTACAACACACCTGTAAAAACACACACACACACCTGTACACACACATCACCTGTACACACACCTGTACAACACACCTGTATAAACACACACCTGTACAACACACCTGTATAAACACACACACACACCTGTATAAACACACACCTGTACAACACACCTGTACACACATCTGTATACACAGAGATCTGTATACACACACACACACACCTGTACACACACACACGCTCACTGATGGGAATACAGCTCTCTGATGGGAATACACACACCTGTACACACACACTTTGTACAGACACACCTATACACACACACCTGTACACACACACACCTATACACACCTGTACATACACACTTTGTACAGACACACCTGTACACACACACACAGCCTTGCCTGCCAGAGGAGCTCACTGATGGGAATGTGTCCAGATCTATCAAGGATTTGCGAGCTCCTCACACAATCCAGCCTGGTTAAACCCAGGATGGAACGTAGGCAGGCCAGCCTGAATGCTTCTGACCAGCAAAGATGTCCCTTTAGAACACATAAAAGACAAATATCCCCCGTATAGCCTTAACAGACTGTAGGGGCAAGTGCTGTTAGCGAGCACCTATGAAGGCCGGAACGGTGCACGAGGGGGTGGGTGGCCAGCGCCACGCCCGACCGCCTTTGTCTCCCCAGTGACGATGTTTACTACACACCGCACCAGGTACTCAATTCAGGCTGAGTCGACCTAGGGGAGGCCCGGGACCGGTTCAGATAATCGTCACTTGGTGTTGGCCGTGAGCGGGAATCGAACCCGGGTCGCCAGGTTCATAGCGCTAACCGCTACACCACCACTCCTCACACACATCAGTACACACACACACGGACACACACTCTGCACGGACACACACTCTATACAGACATACATTCGATACAGACACACCTGTACACGCATGCACCTGTAAACACAACAGTACACACAACAGTACACACACACACTCACCTGTACACACACCTGTACACACAACAGTGCACACACACTCACCTGTACACACACTCACCTGTACACACAACAGTATACACACACTCACCTGTACACTCACCTGTACACACAACAGTCCACACACACCTGTACACACACACCTGTACACACACCTGTACACACACACCTGTACACACACACTCACCTGTACACACAACAGTACACACACACAATAGTACACACACCTGTACACACACACACCTGTACACACAACAGTACACACACACACACTCACTCACCTGTACACACAACAGTATACACACACTCACCTGTACACTCACCTGTACACACAACCGTGCACACACACACCTGTACACACACCTGTAAGCACACACTCACCTGTACACACAACAGTACACACACACAACAGTACACACACACCCACATCTGGACACACACATCAACAGTGCACACACCTGTACACACATTAATCTGTCCACACTAACCTGTACACACACCTGCACATACACTAAACTGTATACACACTAACCTGTACACACACCTGCACATACACTAAACTGTATACACACCTGTACACATACCTGAATACACACTAACATGTACACACAACAGTACAAAGATACAAAGATCCCCCATATAGCCTTAACAAGACTGTAGGGGCAAGTGCTGTTAGCGAGCACCTATGAAGGCCGGAACGGTACACGAGGGGGTGGGTGGCCAGCACCACGCCCGACCGCCTTTGTCTCCCTAGTAGCAATGTTTACACACCGCACCAGCTACTCATTTGAGGCTGAGTCGACCTAGGGGAGGCCCGGGACCGGTTCAGATAATCGTCACTTGGTGTTGGCCGTGAGCGGGAATCGAACCCGGGTCGCTAGGTTCATAGCGCAGCGCAGCGCTAACCACTACACTACCGCTCCTGACACCTGTACACACACCTGTACACACGCATGAATCTGTCCACACTAACCTGTACACACAAGAGTACACACACACCTGTACATACACTAAAATGTACACACACCTGTACACATATTAACATGGACACACAACAACACACACACACACCTTTACAAATACTTACATGTACACACAACAGCGTACACACACACTCACCTGTACACACACTCACATGTACACACACTCACATGTACACACTCTCACCTGTACACACAACAGTACACACACTCACCTGTACACTCACCTGTACACACAACAGTGCACACACACACACCTGTACACACACACACCTATAAACACACACCTGTAAACACACACTCACCTGTACACTCATCTGTACACACACCTGTACACACACACACCTGTACACACACACCTGTAAACACACACTCACCTGTACACACAACAGTACACACACACAATAGTGCACATACACACCTGTACACACAACAGTACACACACAAACCTGTACACACACACACCTGTACACACACTCACCTGTACACACAACAGTACACACACTCACCTGTACACACACACACACACCTGTACACACACACACCTGTACACACACACACCTGTAAACACACACTCACCTGTACACACAACAGTACACACACACAATAGTGCACATACACACCTGTACACACAACAGTACACACACAAACCTGTACACACACACACCTGTACACACACTCACCTGTACACACAACAGTATACACACTCACCTGTACACACACTCACCTGTACACACACACACCTGTACACACACTCACCTGTATACACAACAGTACACACACTCACCTGTACACACAACAGTACACACACTCACCTGTACACACAACAGTATACACACACTCACCTGTACACTCACCTGTACAGACAACAGTATACAAACATTCACCTGTACACTCACCTGTACACACAACAGTGCACACACACACCTGTACACACACACACCTGTACACACACACCTGTAAGCACACACTCACCTGTAAACACACACTCACCTGTAGACACAACAGTACACACACACAATAGTGCACATACACACCTGTACACACAACAGTACACACACACACACCTGTACACACAACAGTATACACACACACTCACCTGTACACACAACAGTACACACACACACTCACCTGTATACACAACAGTACACACACACACTCACCTGTACACACAACAGTACACACACATTCTCACCTGTACACAACAGTACACACACTCACCTGTACACACAACAGTACACACACACCTGTACACACATCAGTACACACACACACACTCACCTGTACAGACAACAGTACACACACACACTCACCTGTACACACAACAGTATACACATCAGTACACACATCAGTACACACACCTGTACACACATCAGTACACACACCTGTACACACAACAGTACACACACCTGTACACACACACACCTGTACACACACACATCAGTACACACATCAGTACACACAACAGTACACACAACAGTACACACACACACCTGTACACACACACACCTGTACACGCACACACATGTGTACACACACACATCAGTACACACAACAGTACACACACACACCTGTACACACACACACGTGTACACACACACACCTGTACACACAACAGTATACACACACGCACCTGTACACACACACCTGTACACACACACATGTGTACACACACACACCTGTACATACATCAGTACACACACCTGTACACACAACAGTACACACACCTGTACACACACACACATATACACGCACACACATCAGTACACACAACAGTACACACACCTGTACACACACACACCTGTACACACATCAGTACACACACCTGTACACACAACAGTACACACACCTGTATACACAACAGTACACACACACTTGTACACACACATCAGTACACACACCTGTACACACAACAGTACACACACCTGTACACACAACAGTACACACACCTGTACACACAACAGTACACACACACTTGTACACACACCTGTACACACAACAGTACACACACACACCTGTACACACAACAGTACACACACACACACTTGTACACACACCTGTACACACAACAGTACACACACACACGTGTACACACACCTGTACACACAACAGTACACACACATACTTGTACACACAACAGTACACACAACAGTACACACACACTTGTACACACACATCAGTACACACACCTGTACACACAACAGTACACACACCTGTACACACAACAGTACACACACCTGTACACACAACAGTACACACACTTGTACACACACCTGTACACACAACAGTACACACACACACACTTGTACACACACCTGTACACACAACAGTACACACACACACACTTGTACACACACCTGTACACACAACAGTACACACACACACACTTGTACACACACCTGTACACACAACAGTACACACACACACACTTGTACACACACCTGTACACACAACAGTACACACACACACACACCTGTACACACACCTGTACACACAACAGTACACACACACACACACACCTGTACACACAACAGTATACACACACGCACCTGTACACACACACCTGTACACACACACATGTGTACACACACACACCTGTACATACAACAGTACACACACACATGTACACACACATCAGTACACATACCTGTACACACAACAGTACACACACACACACCTGTACACACACACACATGTACACACACACATCAGTACACACAACAGTACACACACCTGTACACACACACACCTGTACACACATCAGTACACACACCTGTACACACAACAGTACACACACCTGTACACACAACAGTACACACACACTTGTACACACACATCAGTACACACACCTGTACACACAACAGTACACACACCTGTACACACAACAGTACACACACCTGTACACACAACAGTACACACACACTTGTACACACACATCAGTACACACACCTGTACACACAACAGTACACACACCTGTACACACAACAGTACACACACCTGTACACACAACAGTACACACACACTTGTACACACACCTGTACACACAACAGTACACACACACACCTGTACACACAACAGTACACACACACACACACTTGTACACACACCTGTACACACAACAGTACACACACACGTGTACACACACCTGTACACACAACAGTACACACACATACTTGTACACACAACAGTACACACAACAGTACACACACACTTGTACACACACATCAGTACACACACCTGTACACACAACAGTACACACACCTGTACACACACCAGTACACACACCTGTACACACAACAGTACACACACTTGTACACACACCTGTACACACAACAGTACACACACACACACTTGTACACACACCTGTACACACAACAGTACACACACACACACTTGTACACACACTTGTACACACAACAGTACACACACACACACACTTGTACACACACCTGTACACACAACAGTACACACACACACTTGTACACACACCTGTACACACAACAGTACACACACACACCTGTACACACAACAGTACACACACACACTTGTACACACACCTGTACACACAACAGTACACACCTGTACACACAACAGTACACAGACACCTGTACACACAACAGTACACACACACACTTGTACACACACCTGTACACACAACAGTACACACACAAACTTGTACATATACAAAGGTAAAACAACAAAAAACCAAAGCTCCCCCGTACAGCCTGCAACAGACTCCCGGGGCAAGTGGCGCAGTTAGTAGCGAGTAGCAGACACAGTCGCCATCAGCACCCTCGCCCGACCGCCTTTGTCTCCCTCTGCGGCGACGCTTACTCGTCACACAGGACACGCGACTTGTCCGAGGGGAGGCGGAGCGCACCTGTGGTAGGCCCAGGAGCAGGCTCAAACACCTCACACCTGTACACGTGTAATGCCACACAGGTAAAGCCGCAACTCCCCGCCCTCTCCCAGGTAGCTCGCGTGCGGCTGCTGGGGCAAGTGCGGCCGTGGCGGCTACCGGCACCACCACCGCTACCACCGGCACGCCACACACGTGACCAGGGAAGTCTCAGTTTAAGGCCGAGGGGACCTAGAGGAACTCACCTGTCGGACTGGGGGTCCCAGGTGGGTGACACGGGGTGGGGTGACACGGGGGGTGGGGAGACACGGGGGGGAGACTCAGATTCAGAGGGAGACACGGGGAGAGATTCAGGGGGAGACTCAGATTCAGAGGGAGACACGGGGAGAGATTTAGGGGGAGACACGGGGAGAGATTTAGGGGGAGACACGGGGAGACACGGGGAGAGATTTAGGGGGAGACACGGGGAGACACGGGGAGAGACTCAGAGGGAGACTCAGATTCAGAGGGAGACACGGGGAGAGATTTAGGGGGAGACACGGGGAGAGATTCAGGGGGAGACTCAGATTCAGAGGGAGACACGGGGAGAGACTCAGAGGGAGACTCAGATTCAGAGGGAGACACGGGGAGAGATTCAGGGGGAGACACTCAGAGGGAGACACTCAGAGGGAGACTCAAGAGACAAAGGGAGACACGGGGAGAGACTCAGAGGGAGACACGGGGAGAGACTCAGAGGGAGACACGGGGGGGGGGGGGGAGGGGAGGAGACACGGGGGGGAGGGGGGAGACTCAGTGGAAGAGACAGATGGAGACTTGGTGGGTGAGACAGAGACTTGGTGGGTGAGACAGAGACTTGGTGAGTGAGACAGAGACTTGGTGAGTGAGACAGAGACTTGGTGGGTAAGACAGAGACTTGGTGGGTGAGACAGAGACTTGGTGGGTGAGACAGAGACTTGGTGGGTGAGACAGAGACTTGGTGGGTGAGACAGAGACTTGGTGGGTGAGACAGAGACTTGGTGAGTGAGACAGAGACTTGGTGGGTGAGACAGAGACTTGGTGGGTGAGACAGAGACTTGGTGGGTGAGACAGAAACTTGGTAGGTGAGACAGAGACTTGGTGGTGGGTGAGACAGAGACTTGGTGTGTGAGACAGAGACTTGGTGGGTGAGACAGAGACTTGGTGAGTGAGACAGAGACTTGGTGGGTGAGACAGAGACTTGGTGGGTGAGACAGAGACTTGGTGGGTGAGACAGAGACTTGGTGGTGGGTGAGACAGAGACTTGGTGAGTGAGACAGAGACTTGGTGGTGGGTGAGACAGAGACTTGGTGGGTGAGACAGAGACTTGGTGGTGGGTGAGACAGAGACTTGGTGGGTGAGACAGAGACTTGGTGAGTGAGACAGAGACTTGGTGAGTGAGACAGAGACTAGGTGGGTGAGACAGAGACTTGGTGAGTGAGACAGAGACTTGGTGAGTGAGACAGAGACTTTGTGGTGGGTGAGACAGAGACTTGGTGGGTGAGACAGAGACTTGGTGGTGAGTGAGACAGAGACTTGGTGAGTGAGACAGAGACTTGGTGAGTGAGACAGAGACTTGGTGAGTGAGACAGAGACTTGGTGGGTGAGACAGAGACTTGGTGTGTGAGACAGAGACTTGGTGGGTGAGACAGAGACTTGGTGAGTGAGACAGAGACTTGGTGAGTGAGACAGAGACTTGGTGTGTGAGACAGAGACTTGGTGGGTGAGACAGAGACTTGGTGAGTGAGACAGAGACTTGGTGGGTGAGACAGAGACTTGGTGGGTGAGACAGAGACTTGGTGGGTGAGACAGAGACTTGGTGGTGAGTGAGACAGAGACTTGGTGAGTGAGACAGAGACTTGGTGAGTGAGACAGAGACTTGGTGAGTGAGACAGAGACTTGGTGGGTGAGACAGAGACTTGTGTGTGAGACAGAGACTTGGTGGGTGAGACAGAGACTTGGTGAGTGAGACAGAGACTTGGTGAGTGAGACAGAGACTTGGTGTGTGAGACAGAGACTTGGTGGGTGAGACAGAGACTTGGTGAGTGAGACAGAGACTTGGTGGGTGAGACAGAGACTTGGTGGGTGAGACAGAGACTTGGTGGGTGAGACAGAGACTAGGTGGGTGAGACAGAAGGAGACAGAGTGAGACAGAGACTTGGTAGGTGAGACAGAGACTTGGTGAGTGAGACAGAGACTAGGTGGGTGAGACAGAAGGAGACAGAGTGAGACAGAAACTTGGTAGGTGAGACAGAGACTTGGTGAGTGAGACAGAGACTTGGTGGGTGAGACAGAGACTTGGTGGTGGGTGAGACAGAGACTTGGTGGGTGAGACAGAGACTTGGTGGGTGAGACAGAGACTTTGTGGTGGGTGAGACAGAGACTTGGTGGTGGGTGAGACAGAGACTTGGTGAGTGAGACAGAGACTTGGTGGGTGAGACAGAGACTTGGTGGTGGGTGAGACAGAGACTTGGTGGGTGAGACAGAGACTTGGTGAGTGAGACAGAGACTTGGTGAGTGAGACAGAGACTTTGTGGTGGGTGAGACAGAGACTTGGTGGTGGGTGAGACAGAGACTTGGTGAGTGAGACAGAGACTTTGTGGTGGGTGAGACAGAGACTTGGTGGGTGAGACAGAGACTTGGTGAGTGAGACAGAGACTTGGTGAGTGAGACAGAGACTTTGTGGTGGGTGAGACAGAGACTTGGTGGGTGAGACAGAGACTTGGTGGGTGAGACAGAGACTTGGTGGTGGGTGAGACAGAGACTTGGTGGGTGAGACAGAGACTTTGTGGTGGGTGAGACAGAGGAGACTTGGTGAGTGAGACAGAGACTTGGTGAGGTGAGACAGAGACTTGGTGGGTAAGACAGAGACTTGGTGGGTAAGACAGAGACTTGGTGAGTGAGACAGAGACTTGGTGGGTGAGACAGAGACTTGGTGGGTGAGACAGAGACTTGGTGGGTGAGACAGAGACTTGGTGGGTGAGACAGAGACGTGTTGAGTGAGACAGAGACTTGGTGAGTGAGACAGAGACTTGGTGAGTGAGACAGAGACTTGGTGGGTGAGACAGAGACTTGGTGGGTGAGACAGAGACTTGGTGAGTGAGACAGAGACTTGGTGAGTGAGACAGAGACTTGGTGGTGAGTGAGACAGAGACTTGGTGAGTGAGACAGAGACTTGGTGGGTGAGACAGAGACTTGGTGAGTGAGACAGAGACTTGGTGGGTGAGACAGAGACTTGGTGGGTGAGACAGAGACTTGGTGAGAGACAGAGACTTGGTGGGTGAGACAGAGACTTGGTGAGTGAGACAGAGACTTGGTGGGTGAGACAGAGACTTTGTGGTGGGTGAGACAGAGACTTGGTGAGTGAGACAGAGACTTGGTGAGTGAGACAGAGACTTGGTGGGTGAGACAGAGACTTGGTGGGTGAGACAGAGACTTGGTGGGTGAGACAGAGACTTGGTGGGTGAGACAGAAACTTGGTAGGTGAGACAGAGACTTGGTGGTGGTGAGACAGAGACTTGGTGAGTGAGACAGAGACTTGGTGGTGGGTGAGACAGAGGAGACAGTGTAGGGGAGACAGAGACTTGGTGGGTGAGACAGAGACTTAGTGGGGTGAGACAGAGGGAGACAGAGACTTGGTGAGTGAGACAGATGACTTGGTGGTGGGTGAGACAGAGGGAGACAAAGTGAGACAGAGACTTGGTGAGTGAGACAGAGACTTGGTGAGTGAGACAGAGACTTGGTGGTGAGTGAGACAGAGAATTGGTGAGTGAGACAGAGACTTGGTGAGTGAGACAGAGACTTGGTGAGTGAGACAGAGACTTGGTGAGTGAGACAGAGACTTGTGGTGAGTGACGACAGAGACTTGGTGAGGTGAGACAGAGACTTGGTGGGGTGAGACAGAGACTTGGTGGGTGAGACAGAGACTTGGTGTGGTGAGACAGAGACTTGGTGGGTGAGACAGAGACTTGGTGAGTGAGACAGAGACTTTGGTGAGTGAGACAGAGACTTGGTGGTGGGTGAGACAGAGACTTGGTGAGTGAGACAGAGACTTGGTGGGTGAGACAGAGACTTGGTGTGTGAGACAGAGACTTGGTGGGTGAGACAGAGACTTGGTGGGTGAGACAGAGACTTGGTGAGTGAGACAGAGACTTGGTGAGTGAGACAGAGACTTGGTGAGTGAGACAGAGACTTGGTGAGTGAGACAGAGACTTGGTGAGTGAGACAGAGACTTGGTGGGTGAGACAGAGACTTGGTGTGTGAGACAGAGACTTGGTGGGTGAGACAGAGACTTGGTGGGTGAGACAGAGACTTGGTGGGTGAGACAGAGACTTGGTGTGTGAGACAGAGACTTGGTGAGTGAGACAGAGACTTGGTGGGTGAGACAGAGACTTGGTGGGTGAGACAGAGACTTGGTGGGTGAGACAGAGACTTGGTGAGTGAGACAGAGACTAGGTGGGTGAGACAGAGACTTGGTGGGTGAGACAGAGACTTGGTGGGTGAGACAGAGACTTGGTGAGTGAGACAGAGACTTGGTGGGTGAGACAGAGACTTGGTGGGTGAGACAGAGACTTGGTGAGTGAGACAGAGACTTGGTGGGTGAGACAGAGACCTTGGTGGAGTGAGACAGAGACTTGGTGGTGAGACAGAGACTTTGTGGGGGTGAGACAGAGACTTGGTGGAGTGAGACAGAGACTTGGTGAGTGAGACAGAGACTTGGTGAGTGAGACAGAGACTTGGTGAGTGAGACAGAGACTTGGTGGGTGAGACAGAGACTTGGTGGTGAGTGAGACAGAGACTTGGTGAGTGAGACAGAGACGTGGTGGGTGAGACAGAGACTTGGTGAGTGAGACAGAGACTTGGTGGGTGAGACAGAGACTTGGTGGGTGAGACAGAGACTTGGTGGGTAAGACAGAGACTTGGTGAGTGAGACAGAGACTTGGTGGGTGAGACAGAGACTTGGTGAGTGAGACAGAGGGAGACTTGGTGAGTGAGACAGAGACTTGGTGAGTGAGACAGAGACTTGGTGAGTGAGACAGAGACTTGGTGGGTAAGACAGAGACTTGGTGAGTGAGACAGAGACTTGGTGGGTAAGACAGAGACTTGGTGAGTGAGACAGAGACTTGGTGGGTGAGACAGAGACTTGGTGAGTGAGACAGAGGGAGACTTGGTGAGTGAGACAGAGA